AACAAAAGATTTGTCTTTGTATGATGAATGTTCTCGTTGAGTGATAGCAACTATTAGTCACTTAATAGATACATGTACTAGAGTGGATGTGCAATTAAACCGTGAAATAAAATCAAACTAAATACTAACTGATAGTATCTATTTGGTGACTAATATTTGCTAGCACTCAACCAGAACATTTATTAAACAAAAGATTTGTCTTTTTATGATGAATGTTCTGGTTGAGTGATAGCAACTATTAGTCATTAAATAGATACTATTAGTTAGTATTTAGTTTGATTTTATTTCACGGTTTAATTGCATCCGCTCTATATTTATACATGCAACACAATTTAAATGTAAATGAAATTAAAATATTTACCAATAAGAGCAAAGTATTAGTTAATATTATTATTATATTAGTTAATAATGTTATTATTTGTGAATTTATTCAGTTCTAATTTGCTATATACCGGCCTGCTTTAACAGCTAATAGACAAGTTATTGTAATTTATCATATATAATTGGATTTTTTTTTGCTTTTTCAGTTGTCAAAAACTATTTATATTATACTTAGTTTTATTTACTTTGACTTCCTGCTTCATTTCTTTCCAAGCTTAGAGTTTTTTGACAGCTTTGAGGTCTGTGAAAACAAATCATTTGGTTGCTAAGCAGCAATTCCAGATGTATGTAAATTAGTTTCAAAACAGCCAAGTCTTTGACAAATTGTTTGAATAGGTAATAGGTCTTTTCTATTTCACTCTTATTGTCAAAGATATATACCAGTTGGAAATATCTTCTTATTTTACCACCTTATCAAGAATTAATGGAAAACCAAATTGATTTTTAGAAGTGTCTAATTTCCTTTATGAATGTCCAAGCTTTCATATTTTTAAAATGAATAGATCTGTTAGATTTCAAGATCAGGTAAGGCTTTTTAGATATTAATATCCCTTTCATCTTGTCAACACCTTGCCTTAATTATTTGCTGTCCAATATGAATGCCTTCTAGGTCTGCTTGTGATTTTCAGGTTAAAAAAATRCCTAATATTCACTATAAGAGTGGATATATGACTAAACATATGACATGTAGTTGAAGAATGATAGATTCAAGCTATTAGGTTGTAGAAAATAAAATACCCTCAATTATAATGATTGTACAGCACCTACACAGTGATAGTTCATTTTTATCTTACACTCTAAATCTTTAAAATCATTCTTTACAAACCATGATATAGCATTCAGGACAATACATCTTAATGTGCCCATACAGAATTTTTATGAGACACACCAAATATTCACACCCTGGATTTCATCTTTATAGTTGTACAGTGTGTATCGGTTGTGTCATAATACAGTATGTGGAATATATATATTTCTTTTCAGTACAAGTTAGTGCTTTTTTTTTTGCTTTTTTTTCTCTATATATATCATAAGAGATATTTAATAACTTTACTAAAGATTATATCAATTGTCCATAAATTTCATGAATTAGCCAGAATGTTTCTGGTGTAACAATAATATTGTTTATTGAGTTTATCAGTATTTATTCAAGCTTGTCTGTACAAGACAATAGATATGTTGCTGCACATTTTGTACCAGGTTGTAATACAAGCCATGTAGGGCAACTTTTTTTCTTAAATTTTTTTTATGCATAAGATAATAACTAATTCAATAATTCCCCAAATTCATTATTCATTTTCAAATATTTAGATTGCAGGTATATGTAGTGAAAATTAAATAGCTTTAATTGTTTGCAACAATATTCATTTGCTTCAAATTATCAGGGATTGATTGACAATTGGAAATGTTTCAGAAAAATATTTATTGTGAGTCCTAATATTTCCTGCATTTGATAAAAACTTAATCACTGGCTCAAGAATAGTAAAAAACTCTTCAGTAATTATTATTTTCATCAACTGCATTTCTGTGATCTTATAAGATAATGTTTTCATAAAGTTTGGTTTTGAACATGGATTGAGATAGAGCACATGCAGTAAAACCATGAATAAAAACAAAGTTGATACTGACAAATAGTAGCTATTTAGTGACTAATAGTTGCTATCACTCAACCAGAACATTTATTAACCAAAAGACACAARTGGTMTYTTRTGTATTTGTCTTTGWWTGATGAATGTTCTGGTTGAGTGATAGCAACTATTAGTCACTAAATACATGCTATTTGTCAGTATCAACTTTGTTTTTATTTCATGGTTTTACTACATGCGTTCTACTGCTTAGTGCTCCAATGGTTAGATTATATTCTTTTTATTGGTAAGACAAAGCTATTTGTATCAAAGCTGTATCATCTTTTTGATATATTCCAGTCACAAATTCAGAACATCTCCAAGCAACTTGAACCAGATGAAGTGGAAGAAGATTATTTCAGGTATTGCTGAACAAGTTAAAAGTTATATTTTGCACTTTTTTCTTGCTTTCTTTTCTTTCTTTTTTTTTTTTTTTCTTTCATTTCTTAGGTTTTTTTTCCTTAGTTTTTTTTAGTTTTCTATTATCTTTATGTATATATTTTATACAATATATTGGTAATAGCTAGCCAGTTTGTTGTTCATTAGTCTGCTTTTTATTCTATTTTTTCTTTCTTCAATCCTCCCTTCAGGTATTTCATTTAAACTTAACATTTTCACTTAATTCACTTTTATCACAGTAATGATAAAAGGATAAATTATACACTGTGAAAAGATGAAAAAACTTACTGACGTTCAGGACGCTATAATTCTCTTTGTGACTTCATTGTTTTTGGTCTTTCTTTGATTAACGACAAGAAAGATTGTCGCAAGACCAAAGAAATGTGGCTTATTCACCTATTGGGCACTCTTAGTCCCAGCGGGATTAATGAATGCTTTGCTTTCTACTAAAAACCCACTCACTTGATTATTTCTTTCGTTTCTTTGCCTGCCTTGTTCTCATTGGTTTCTTTTGTCTTATTCTATCATATAAACACTCCTTTCTACCACCTCTTTCTCTTTTACTCCAACGAAGGACTAGCATCCGAAATGTCAGTAAGTTTTTTCATCCTTTCACGGTGTATAATTTACCCTTTTATCATTACTGTTTCATTAGAAACACTGATGCAGCTCACACTAGTTTTTAGCTAGTGATCTCCTCACTTTTATCAAGACAGCAAAAGCTTATTGAACAGATGTGTTCAGTTTCCCATTTGCCTCTAAATAATTTGCTCCTATTTTCCTTATAATTTCTGATTTTTCTTTATGTTGCTCTTTTCAGTTGAGTTTGCTGCAATGCTTCCTATTGAATGCTTTTGATGTTGCCGTTGGCAACATGCACATTTCACCCAAAAAACTTTGAGAAAATTTTGTCATGCCAAACTCATCTGAGATGACGATATAGCGATTGGTGAATGATGACTTGTGCTGATTTGTATTGCTTTTTAATTTTCCAGGAAAGTCCAAAGCAATGGTGTTGAAGGATCAACAAGTGATTTGTTATCATATGAAGAGAAAGATGCTGGAGATGATGATGGGGAGGAGGAGGAAGAGGAAGGAGAATATGATGGGGAAGAGGAAAGGTATTAATCCCAATTGCCCATTAATTAGTATATGTAATAGGACCCCATGCTGTCCAATTAAGAAATAATTGGACGAGGAAAATTCCAACGACTGACAAAATTGAATGAGGCCATAGGCCGATATGAGGCCATGAATATAGGCAATTTGGCAGTCAGAGGAATTTTTCGAGTCTAATTATTTCTTGATTGGGGAGCATGATATCCCATTACCCATTAATTATATAGCTGCCTAATTAATCCCATATCAACAAGACCTGTCCAATTATGAATTATGGGATTAATGAGAAGCTGTATAATTAGTGGTTATAATTATTAATAATAGATTATCATTATTATTAATAATTAAAAGACATGCTTCTGCAAAATACTCCAGCCATATATGATTATTTTACTGAAGTTGACAGGGGCGTAGCCATAATTTTTTGAAGGGGGAAATTCAAAAAGCTGCCATTTTTCCCAGAACGCTGAATGAAAAAAAATAGCCACCGTTTTGTTGCCGTTTTGTTGGGAAAGGGGGGTGGCCAAAAGTCAAAATTACTGTATTTATTTTACGAAAGATTTACTTATAATGGTATTAAATGCGATCACAAAATTGTTTGTCAATAATTTTTGTTTTCATCGGCATATATTAAGTAGTTTGTGAGTGGTACATTTGAGAAAACAACAATATAGAAATAACACCTGTCACAAATTGCTCTTTTGGATGCTATGGTAACTCAAAATTTGATCCACTATCCAACAGATGTGGTTAGACTAGAAAGTGTTGCTAGCTGTCAGGTGTACTGAACATTTTTGCCATGATCAAAGTAGGACTTTCAAGCATAGTTAATGGAGCAGTGAGAATGGTTTGGAAACTCCACAGAACAAAGCTATTGTTTTTGTTTGAGATTGAACCGTTACCGTCACGTAATACTGACTGTGCATGCTGAAGCAAAGTATAGTACTGTATGGATAAAAATACTCATTTCCTTATTATTTTCATGTACTATGAACATTTTGAAACTGAAAATTCTTATTCACCACAAACTATGCGGATAAAATTATGATAAAGATGATAAAAAAGAAAGCATAAAAAAGGCAATTTCTTTTCCAATAAACAATTAATATTAATCATATAGGATTCATTAACAAATGATAAATATTTTAGAATGTTCTCTGTGTGGCCTTTGCTAGGCAAATTAAGACTGGACTGCTTACTGGATTGATCTTTATTCGTATATCTCGTCAATCTTGACTATCTCTGACTTATCCGTAAAACTACAAGTAGATCAACAAAGGAATGTAACTAAATAGTATCGGAATTATACGCGATGGAACGAATTATTAAGACTAAGATTCAATACATAAACACTTTACAAACATATTAAATGATCGGTACCTTGTCCAGATGTTAACTTCTAACTTGAAGTCCTAACTTGACCTCTTACGACGAAATCATTAAGCATGGTCAAAGTCATATTATAACAAACATGGAAAAAATCACCACAAACATAGGTTTGCCAACTATTCCACTCCATTAACTATGTTTCAAGGGATCATGCTGAAGTACACAAACAATCATAAACACCAACTCATCTGCAGTTAGGTACATATTTGACCATAATAGGCTATGTCTTCATATTTTATTCTAGCACATCTATTACATAAATGTCTCAATGCACTTATAATTAGAATACCATCAAATAAATGAATATAATAATATTATATAAATTATGAATATGTATACAAATACTTGCTGAAGTGCGAGTGGAGCACATTACCTAAGGTGGTCTTGGATGTGGACATTTTTGACATCACTTGAATTGTTTTAATGTGTTTTGTTTTGAATGAAGTGAGGAAGATTCTGATGGTGAAGACAGTGATGAGGACACATGGACTGAACAACCTGTAAACACAATAATGGTAAATAATATATCTTCTATTCTATTTACAAGTATGCCTAATAATAATGATAATTAGTAATAATAATTGTAGATGAAATTCCTTCTATTCTGACTGTTTTTACATCTTGCAATAATGAAAACAATAAATAATAATGATTATACAGCTTCTCATTAATCCCATATAGGTAACTGTCCAATTATTTTCTTAATTAGACAGGTCTTGTTGATATGGGATTAATTAGGCAGCTATATAATTAATAGGTATTAAGGACGGTGCCTACTATTGTCCACGCGCACACGTACTGCGCATCTACATTCAAGGAATTTCAAAATTTATTACTYGAATTGCACGAAAGAAAACGTTTATTTTCAATAAAAGTTAAAGCAGAAAACGATCTTAAGTAACCCAGGCTTGTTAAAGAGATAATTTGCTAAGGTTTAAGTATTATTGACAAAGAATCATAAGGTTTTTTTGGGCAAGTGCGTTTCAGTATAAAAATGACAGACTCATAGTTCTAAAAAACCAAATCCTTTCAATAATAAAGCTTTTTACCGTTTCTTTAGATTTAATCCTATAAAACTTGAATAAAAACAAACAAGAAATACAAGTCATATGAAATTGAAAATTTACCATTTATTGATATCTAGGTGTGTAATTATAGTTTTGAAAATCTTTTTTTGGTCGCTAAACACTTTCATCATTAAATTCTTTTACTTTGGAGTTCTCAATCTAAAAAATCATCTTATTACGTACCAAATATTTCASAAATTCCTTTCTGCTGTTAAGTAAAAAGTCAATAATAACTTCACTTCAAACCCAATAGTCTTCCTGGAACTATAAAGCTTATAAATATCGAGTTTTTCTCTGTGTTTTTTGCTTGCATGGCAGGAAGCAGCATGTTTAGCTTGACGTGCATGCAAACGCGCCGAAAACAGAGTTTGTCACGCCGTTTTGCATGCTGTGTAACGCTTGTCACGCATTCGGCATCAGATTTATCCCTAATAATGTTCTTTAAAAATTTGTATCTCTTAAAAATGCCTGGATACCCCTATTTTTTCTTCATTTAAATGATAGAGTAAATGCTAAATTAGCCTCGTGAAATGAAATTTATAAAAAATAATTGGTTTTGAAAAGAATATGGACACAATCTTTGTGTACCTACTGATGGAAAATAGGGAGCACGAAGCTAAAAAATTATATATATTATAGCCAACTATTAAAGTCATGGTAGAATTGGGTTTATTTTAGTAAAGAAACAAAGTGTCAGTCATTTAGGGCGATTTAAATTAGAAATTTCTCAAATTCTTTTGAAAAAAATTTTTTTTCCTGGTGTTAGTAAAATCATGACGTCATCACTTTTTAACGATTTTTAAGCCTTATTATTTCTTTTAAATGCATGGTGACCCCTACTTTCCTAACCAGAATTTGACAATCCTTTGATACACTGTAGGTTAAAATAATTCACATAGTCATTTAAAAAAAAAAAAATTGATTCTCAATTAGTAGGCACCGTCCTTAATTGGATTTCATGGTCCTATGGTGCTTTCCTGTATGATACTAATTAAATCCATGGGGATGTCAGAGGAACATAAAAGAAACACTGATCAGCAACCACTTGCATCAGTGTATGGCCTTTTTTAATGATATCTTAATTAGTTGATAGTGGGATGGGTATGGGGATTTTGAAGGGGTTGGAAATACTGTAGGCGTAATATACATGTGAGTGGGACCTTGTGAGCTATTTTTGTGCAGCACCACAAGTGGGCAAAATCTGAACTAAAAAATATATTACAAAACAGATTTCATGTTATAGAGGTGGATTAGGCCTCCCAGACCAGGGCTGATGTTTTGAAATAAAAACACTCAAAACACACATGAATTTTAAGTTGAGTGGAGGATGGGTGTGTGTTTATACTCCCTCCCTTTGCCACTGTGTATGACATTATTCTAAACAGCCAGATTCATATTTCAAAGGGGGATGAAAAATATGTGTACATGTACATACAATGTTAGTTTTTTTTAGTTAACTTTGTACAAAACAACTGTTTTTATCTAAGCGTAATTAATGGAGCTCCTATAACCATTAACCATGCTTAATATAGTAATTATTATGTTGTATCATTTGTTTATTGAATAGGTTAAGCACGTAGAAGCATTGAGTGATTTCCCAGGTGAACAGCCAGATGACCTACCCTTTAGAAAAGGAGAAATACTTAAGATCCTTGATCCAAGGTACATTAATGTACATAAAAAATTCACTGATATTTTAAAATTCACATTTATTATTATTATTATTATTTTTTATTATTGTTATTATTATTATTGTTATTGTTATTGTTATTGTTATTGTTATTGTTATTGTTATCATTATNATTATTATTATTATTATTATTAATGGGAGGATTAGATTTTCTTTTAGTTTTAGTTTTAGATTTTAGCTATTTCTCTTTTCTTTAATTTCTTCTCCTCTCTACTCCAGCCTCTACTGCTATGCTACCATCCATTCCATGTTACAGGGTGTACACACAGCATTCAATATTTTGCAAACAAAAGTGAAAATTTATTAGACTTTTCGTGATTATTTTTTTCTTGCAAAGGGAGGATGGCTGGTGGGTAGCAGAAAATTCATCAGGCAAAAGAGGAATCATACCAAAAACATTGATAAAGGTTGGTTGGTTATATTCACTTTGAGTCTTGCTGTGCTCTAACTAGGTATTTTATCATGTGTTGATTTATTTCCACAAAAATTTAGACTTGCTGAATGTAAATAATTTATCTCGTTTTGTAGATTATTGATGCCTCTGTACCAACAGTAACAAAACAGGCTGGTGAACTTTCAAAAGAAGGTAACTAGATGAATTGTTTTGTTTATATTTATTGAATAGGTACTWTGTTATGATTTAAATTAAGGTTTTTGTAATGAAGCTATTTAGCAGTTTGATGAAAGATTATTGATTGTTATTTGTGTATTCATTGTTTTACTTTTCCGCGTCTTCCATTGGACAATGTGATTATATGTAAATATGCAAAGATGTTGTATAAAAGAAATGTGTACTTGGTGAGAGATATTAAAAGAAAGAAGCAAAGCCGGAATCTTGTCCAGATAGATTACTCGTGACAGTTTTTATCCATTAATTTTATTATGTTCATTTCCAAATTTTCTAATGACATGAATTTTGTTTTGATTTTAAAGATGCAACAATAGAGTTACAATAGACAGTTTTCTCAAGGTTGCGTGCGCATCCTACTTGATGGGCCACAAAATTGAAAAACTCAAATTCAGTAAAATTGCTTTAAATTTATTTAAATTCAGCTTTAAATTTAGAGGAAAATAATAAATTTTATGGGTACTTATCGAAAAAATATTCATGCAAATGTAAGATAATTCTCATTATAAAGCTCCTGTGAACTTGTATTGTGGCACGTCAAGTTTCTTAATTTTGGATGCGCGCGCAACCTTGAGAAAACGGTCTATTACAGTGTGAATTTTTTCTGGAAAACTAAGATATTTGAAGAAATAGTGCAAAATTTAAAATTAGAGTTATGCCGCTTATAATTCTGCTTATTTATGCATTTCTTTTATTCTCAGAGTCTGATGAAGTTCCAGACTTGCCAAGTCCAAGGAGAGAGTGAGTATTCTTGTCACTCTCGCAATCAATAATGAATACTCCTTAAACACCTCTGTATTCTGCAGTCACTGGGTCCTTGCTAGCCTGCTGTGCAGACGTTTTTAGTGTCGGCTCGTTCCGACACTAAAAACGTCTGCACAGCAGGCTAGGTCCTTGCCTGACTGGGTTTCTGATTGTGAAAAATATTTCGTAGAAGAAGTGCTGGTTCAGTGAACTGTTTGTTCAATTTCGGCGTTAGAACTTTTGTAAACTCCTCGAAGCAAACAGGGGAACAAATCATACCTACACGTATGTGACACTAAATTCCAGAACTGATATTGGGCTGCATCTTTGAGCATAAGCTTGGTTGGTCCGATAAATTTGTTTACTTATTTGCGTGTAATTTTCTTCTCTTTAGTGGAAAAGAATTGTGGAAATCCTTACAAAGAGGTTCCAAACAAGAGGTAAGTTCTGGTTGAGATAAATGTATACAGGGTATTAATTTATACCGGGAGACGAGTAGTAGGCCACATGCAGGTGCATGATGAAAATCAGTAATCAAGATCTAACATCATGGATCTATCGAGGGAGGTATGTGACACACTGAGACTTATATATTTACTATCGATTGTAAACAATAGCAGTTACCATTATATGAAGTTTAGGGTATATTTGTATCAGTTTATATTATTACGAAAAATGTCTCACTTATAACAGCAGTTTCTGACTTACTGTATTATCATGAAATGTTGATTGAACTAACATTTAAGGGTACTACATGTAGTTTGGATTAGCCTCGCCTCCGTCCCTCCCTCCCTCTCTAACTTCCTTTCTTCCTTCCTTCCTTAATTTGTTGATAGACCGAAATCTTGTCGTGGCCAATGTGATGGCAAACAATATCTGTTCTATTTGCTTCCAAAAATACGGTTCAGACGAATGACTTGGTCTTATCGTTACCCTGACAACCAGCGTCTTCATCCTTTCACGATCAAGGCTTTGATATTAATCCTTAGTTTGAATAAAGCCCGACAATTTTCTTTTTCATTATTTCAAGAATAATTCAAATATTAAACAGTAGTGAAATGATTTCAAGACTTGCCACAATTCGACTTCTTTTATTTACACACTTTTCAGAATCGGTATGTTTCTCATGAAATTACTTTCGCTGACAGTTTCTATCTTAATAGCAAACAAAGCTGTGCTTAGCAGAGGAGGTCTCTGCATTCATTAGTCACCAATCAAGTATCGTCTAGAGATTTTCAAGGGAGGCAGACATGAATTTGCCTTTAATTAACTGAGGCAAAATGGCGCTGAAAACCGTCAGATTTGCTTTTGACAAGTTTGACATGAACAGCGAAAAAGCAGTCGAAAAAGAATTATGGCACGTTGAACACTAAAAACACTCATCATAGATGTAATATTATATAGCTATTTAAAAACCTTTTTCTTCCTGCCCTCAGACAAGCGTTACCGATGTACTCAAGGCTTTGGGTGCCATGCCATCTGGTTTTCGCTCATCTACCTTGGGGAAATTAACTAAAGATGGTAAGTAGATCTTAACAGGTTTTTCTGTATGGACAATATCCAGCGGAAATCATCTAGTCGTTGATGAAAAAAAAAAACATCAATAAACCGTGAGCTTTTGATTAAAGTTTTTGATTAAATTTTGAATGAATAAATAAAGTTCATGGCATTTTTGGTTTTTAGAACGCTGTCAAGTTAGTTCATGGGTGGTACCAAAACTAAGGCCATCACAACTTGGGTTTAGAGATTTAGTTTGGGACCCAGTTCATAAGCAGGTAGGTAAGGTCTTAATCGCTTAGCACAGAATCATTTCAATTAAAAAAGAAGAAAAAATCAACGTCTGAACGAGAAAACTGAGTTTATAAGAGCACTGTTAATAGCGCATGCGCAGTCTGGTTTAACGGATGCCGTGATCGTGTCGTGTCATGCAACATTTTCTCAGGAAATATGCTAGAAGGTATTCAACGAATTCAACTTCGTGTAGACAAAAAAATACACCATGTGTTGCTTTAAGTTGGTTTATTACTCTGGTCATCTTGTACTTATTTCCCATCTTTACTTCAGCTTACCCTGATGCCAGTCAAAGTGAACAGAGTATTTACTGTTGTAGTTGCTCGCAAGATTCCATTACCAGGGACAGGTACGTGTATCAGTGTGTCTGCATGAGTATGACAAACAGGTCTCACAGATCTGAGTGACTGGTAAAAGGGGTTATTCAAACCGGCTAATTCATGGTCCCCAACCCATTGAATCAATCACGGCTGAAGCAGTTTTCCCAGAGGAAATAAAATCTTGTTCCACAAACAGCTACACAGTATCTGCTTTTTAAAAAGTGCCACTACGATGAATTTTTAATGTTTCCAATCTTTACTATTTAAACACAGTACTTTTTCAAGTACTTTGCAAAAGAAGGAAATTGGCGTTTTTCATTTCTTGTTAACGATTTTGGTTCGAAAGATATTCAAGTTTCAAGTTCATGCTAATCAGGAGGTTGATGACGTCATATTCTTAACTCACAGTTCCCTTCAACATAGATTCCAGTACATCTCTGAGAGTATTTGATGAATGTCATCCAAACTTTGCAGTATACTCGTATTAAAACATGAAACATGAAAATGAACAAACTGTGATTCCTATGGTAACACACTTGTTTCCAGCCTTTCAACGATTGCTTCGCTATTCATTAACTTGAGCAGAAAATTGTTTGACTAAATTGGTGTCTACGACCATAACARATATTTTATCCTAGTCTTATTCGATAGAGTGCTTGCACTAAACCCGTGAAACTAATACTAATTTTTAGCACTAAATAGTGATAACTAAACAATAGAAAACAAAGGATTCTGTATGAAATAGTACTAATTAGTGCTATTTGATCATACGTTGTGGCATACACTCAACGCTAAACATTGCTCCATACATTTCTTTGTATTTTGTCATCAAAATATCCGTTAGTTTTATGCTCAGTATTGAAAAAAGATACCATAAAATGATTCTAAGCACAAGTAATGTAAGTGGACCTTTGGGATTAATAGAAATAAAGTAAAACATGAAGTTGGTTGAAACAGTTTAAAATCAATTTTCCGCGATCAGAGTTCTAAATGCTAAAATATTAAAGCTAATTTGTTGAACTTGTGGGAGTCGGAACCATGAATTGTTTGCTTAGTGCGTAAGCTCAAAGTGTCCAAGTAGTCTGGCCGTCTGGCCAAGCAGTCTGGCTACTGATCAAGTGTTTGACATAATGGTTTTGTATATCCTGTAGGTGTTGAAGTAACAAGCAGACAAGTAAGAATGTCCTTGTGGGATTGGAAGCGTAAACAAGTAAGTCAGTCATGTAGTACGTTACATGACAGCTGTCTGTATCAACTGGTGCCTGCTTCAAATGGACTCATATTGATGTCTCAAATCTACTATAAGGTCTAATGCTACACCTCTGCGCGTTATGACAACTAAAAAAACATCACAACTGAAAAAAAAAAAAAAGGAAAGAAAAGAAAGAAAGAAAAGAAAAAAACAGATCACCGCATCATACCATACCCGCACAAAAACATTCACCATTTATGTTATTTCTTCCGTTTGTCCATCCATTTTATATATAATAATTTCCATCTAGATTCTCAGTAATGTACATAGCGTGCGGGCCGTTCAAAGCGACAAAGATCCTTTATGCTGGACCTTTACTGCAAAGGTAATCCACACATTAAACTATATCAGTCAACCCACTTCCTAAAGAATGCGTAACACTACAAGATGTAACGCAACGAGATGTAACGCAACAAGATGTAACGTTAGGAATCATAGACAGCGTTTACTGTTCTATTGCTAACTATAAATAACGTGACTATTCAGAGTTGACTGGGGGACAACTAGCGGATGCTAAGTCAAAACATATCAAAATAAGTCCTCAAACTATTGTATTTGACTATTTTCACGACATCAAACCACAAAACAAGAGATCAAAACAACCTCCAGGACTCTACAAGCCATCAAAAAGAGCTATTATTATTAGCTAGTGACGTCTATTGATAACAACCTATTCTAACCGTGAACACTCGAGTTGGTCAACGAATCAGATTACATGTATTGAAAGTCTATAAAGCTATTCAAGGAGATGAAATGATGAAAGAGAAAGAAAAATAAAAGTATATTTACACAAATAAAAAATAAAATAAATAAACTCATACTGGAGTGTTCACGGTTAGAGTAGAACAACATCATCTGAATCTCTGCTAATGTTTCATATGTTATTTATCATTTAAGGCTGGTTCAAGTATGTACGATGGAGAATGTTTAGCGCGTTTAGATACTACAGAAGATACAATAGGTGTGTATTTGTTGATATATGTATCCATCCGTTTATCCTTATCAAATCTTTCTTCTCTCTCCTTCTTTCTCCTTCTCTCTCCTTCTCTCTCCTTCTCTCTCCTTCTCTCTCCTTCTTTCTCCTTCATTCGCCTTCTCTCTTAGCCTCATTCGCAAGCGTCTTATTTCACTTTCTTTGGGACTTGGGATCCCTGTGGGTCAAAGGAGGAAGTACACACCACAGATAACCCGCCAAAGGAACAAACGAGACAACCCAAATATGAGAGAGACGCCTGTCGGGAAACTATACCTACTAATTAGTGCTAGAATTTGAAAGTATGTCAACCAATCAGATTTAAGAAAATCATAATCAGTAGTTATGATTAATACTATGATTGGCTTACCCTTCCAAACCTGAATTTTACGATCTTAGCGAAACTCCTTGAAAACTCCTTCAATTTCTGCTTTATCGTTACTTGCATGGTTTTCAAATAGATCTAGTCAACCGAAATATTTTGATGTTTCCATATCGATCGGCCTACGACTCATACGCAAAATACAATATCAGCCTGGCGTTACTTCTCTTTTATGAGGGGTACTGGGAACGATGTGCAAAAAAACCCATAGCTTAGTTAGCTGAACATACTCCTTGGAAAATTATTTTTGGGTCCTTGAATATTCCTTGGGTATAGTCCTTGAAGTTTAAGTGGTTCCAGCTGGTCTGAAATAGTGACGTAGAAATGACGTCACTCAAAACTGAGGTGTCCATGACTAAACCCTGCGAAAGATAAAAATACGCCCGCCATTGTAATAAAATAGTATAAAATTCATAAGATATTTTGTGACTGTTATCAAACCCGTATATTATTAACGTTATTATTTTTTCATTTGGGGACCTGGAAATCCGTGATTTCAAGGGGAAAAGTGACACGTCAGCTTTGTCAATTTACTCGATTTTGATTGTCAGAGATTATTTTGCTTTCCTCTTTACTATCTCATGCTGCGGTCACTTGTTTTAATATCAATCTTTTCATACCTGCAGGTATTTTGATTGAATTAAGCATTTCATATGTAAGAACGGTAAGTTGATTCATATCACTTTTTTTGTTTCTGGG